AAAATTTAAAAATATTTAAAAGAATAACTTTTGTATTGTTTTTCTTTTTACAAAAAAGTAAATAGATTGAGAAATTGAAAAAAATTGCCCGTACATAATTATATATAAATATAATAATCGTATATATAAAATATGATTATACAATATGATTATATATAGAATATTATGTATAATCTAATCACAATTTTACTTTTTGTAAAAAAAATAATGCAAAATTTTCTAATTATTTTTCTTGTACATATAAAACAAAAATTATACAAAAAAAAAACAAATATTTTATATATTACACATATTTCATGTATAATTATATATAAAAAAAATTTTTCTGAATGTAGATTGACTGGGTGAAGAAGATAAAAGCGTTGTTTGATGAGGCAAACGAGTCCGTGGATGACAATTTAAATCTAGACATTATTCAGCCAAGTTACATTGCAAACCTTGTCTCCTTGCTGGATGAAACGTCGAGTCGTACAATCGGTAAGTTTTAAAAATGGAATGATAATAATACAAAACGTCATATATAGTCATTAGTACACACGCGCTCATAAGAAATATATTTCAGTGAATTATATACACTGGAATTTCATAAGCAGAATAATAAAGACTACCACGAGTGAAATGAGAGCGTTGTACGATTTCTGGGAGACAGCTGCGGAGGGCACAGAGCCGAGGTTTGATATATTTTTAAATAAATAATTCTCTTTTATATTATAATTTATTATTTATTGCTAAAGTATTATTAATTTAAAATCTGATTCAATTATATTAAAATGCAGCGATAGAGTGTCTACTTGCATGCAATCAGCAGAGATAAAAGAAATTCTAGGGTACGAATTTGTAAAAAAATATTTCTCCGATGATCTCATCGAAACAGTAAGTTTCATTTTATTTGCCTTTTCCCTACAATCTTGTTTCTGTGCTGATAAATTTGCCCAAGTCAATTATTCACTTCTATATCATAGGCATCGAATTTACTCAGCGATATACGAAAGGCAGTCGAATACCTGATTAAAGAATCAGATTGGATGGATGACAAAGCTAAGGATTTTGCTTTAGCAAAAGTAAAGAATTTAAAAAAATTTATCGGATATCCGAAATGGTACAAAAACACCACGGTTATTCAAGAGTATTACGAAGGAGTGAGTTTTCAAAAATTGTAATATTTAATATTAACTGCTATTACATGACGACCGCCTTATGTAAAATTATTCCATTAAAGCTCATTATCGGCTCGTCACATTATGAAAATACTCTTCGATACAACAAATTCAACAAATGGAAGAGTCTACGGAAGTTATCGAAAAATATTAACGAAGTCGAAGAAGAGTGAGATACCAATTTATTATTTAATATATTTAACGAGTTAAATAATCTTTATACATATGACACACTTTACTAATTTAACAGAGAACTGAATTTAATGAAATTACAGACAAGGGTTAAATCCGGTTGAAGTGAATGCCTTTTACCTCTCCTTGAGGAATGCCATGTGTGCGTAATATGTTTTCTTGTTTAGTGAAATAACATACTTAAAAATTAATTTTATTACTGTAATTATTTACCTAAAAACTAATGTTTTCAACAGTTGTCACGGCAGCGGATTTTCAGACCCCATGGTTCTCTTACGATCGACCACGGTAAAAATTAATGATTTTTATTAAAACTCGACGTATAGTAAAATATGTAACCTAACCTACTAATTAAATTTATTATTTTATATTAAATCTTATGTTAATGTAAAAAAATAAATCTTAATAGAATTTTTTTTAATAACTATTTTTCTGTAGATTCGTTAATTTTGGTATTATTGGATTCATCCTAGCTCACGAGGTTAATCACGGATTCGATAATGAAGGTACGTTAGGAAATAGCATTGCTTTAAGCTCTATGCTTACTTGTTATACTATAATGTAGCTACAGTTATTGTGATAATATAATGATTTATTATTTAACGTTGATGCTCTTTGAAAATATTTAATAAAAAAGAAAAAAATATATATATATAGAAATAATTTTTAGGACACTTGTACGATAAAAACGGTGAGCGCCTGGGATGGTTATCAGCAATGGCCGGCGAATATTATAACAAAAGGCAGGATTGTTTCGTGGAGCAGTTTAATAAATATCCTATTGATAAAAATACAAATAGAAAAATAAAGGTATATTGCTCGCTGTATATTTTAATTATCTTTATTTCGCTGAAGATTTACTTGGTCGTTCATTTATTGATCACCGATCAAATCAATTTTGTTTTACTGAAATTTTATTGGTTATTTTTTACTGACTGAAATTACAGGATTATGGCAAGCAGACGACGAGCGACAACATCGCGGACACAATGGGATTACAGGCGATATTTAAAGCTTATGAACGCAAGGAGAAAGACAGCAAAACACCGGACGCCACGTTGCCGGGCATGGAAGATTTTACCAACAATCAACTGCTCTTTTTATCTTTTGCCAGTGTGAGTGTTACAGGCATTAAAGGAACTATAATTCAAGATTATGAACATAATAATTAATGATATTTTTGCACTTTAATTAATTATATTATTTTTTAATAAATAAATATGTTTACAGTTATGGTGCGAAGCGGTCGTCGACCCAAGTGAATTAACGGCTTTAATAAACGCCTTGACAGATGAGCATAGCGTTGCGCGACTGAGAATTATAGGCTCCGTATCAAATTCAGATGACTTCGCTAAAGCTTTCAATTGCCCCGTTGGCAGTCCGATGAATCCCGAAAAAAAGTGCAATATCTGGAAATAATAAAAAAAAATCTTGCAAGGAATCTTTCATAGAAGTACTTACAGAAATTATTCATGTACTAATAAATAAAATATAACGCATGTCTATAAACATTTCTCTTGATAATTCTCTAACTTCTGAATATTGTACCCAACTCAACCACGTGTGATTATTCAATCCTACCATAGGATAAAAATTAGTTAACAATGGATATTCAGAATACAAAGCAAAATCCGATAATTATAATTATAAATAGCATTAGGATAAGTTTTTAATAACATCTGATTGTATTAAGTTTAATTGTCTAAAATATGTGGTAAAAAAGGATTTATATTTTGAATATCATATCGATTTTCGTAAATTAACTTTGCTCTTTCTGCTTTCCGCGTACATTATTATATATCGCTTATCACCTTAACAAGTTTATCATTTCTATTTTGTTCAGTTCGTCAATATTTAATTAACCCTTCGTCCCACTAGGTGGGTCGTTTTCGTCCGGGCGAAAATCAAATGTAGTTGTAACTCTTGCAAACGCGTAGAAATGGCGCCACTGCGCATCCGTAAAAAAAGTTATGCTCCCCGAGAACCCGCCTACCGAGTTTCAAGGCGCCAGACCCCCTCCAGCCGTCACAGGAGACACGTAATTCTTGAAAAAACGAGGTTGGCGGCGAACACTTAAGCACTTCATTTCAAAATAATTGCATGCAATATTTTTTTTTATGAAAGGTACGTTTTTCCCCTTCAATTTCTTTTTTTATTCATTTCGATATCTTTATTTGTCTTAAAGTTATGATTTTTTGAGTAAAAGATGATTTTACAAGTTGTAGTTGTAGTTGCTCCATTTCTTAAATAAAAAATATGTGAAAAAATTAAATTGCTTATAATTTTATGATTGATACTTCAAATTGAAGGTTTGAATTACCTCCATGAATTTTTTTAGATTTTTTGTAACACTTTAACACTTAAAAAAAAACGTCAAGACGAAAACGACCCACCTATGCGGCGTAAAGGTGCCAAAAAAACGTATGCGGACGAAGGGTTAAGCACAATGTATCAATAAAATATAAAATTTATCCAAAATAATATGAAGCAGAATTAGAATAAGATTATACATTTACAATGTGAAACTATCATATACGATCGTTTATTATTTCTAACATAAATTTTAAAAAAAATTCTTTTTTTTGCAAATGTAAACAAAAATTTGTATTTACAAAATAATAAGTATTTTGATATATATTTCTAAAAATTTGAACATTTGCTCGGTTATGTGTACGATACATCTTTTATAAGCGTGATTAATAAACATAAAAGAAATTTTAGAGTATTATAATCAATCAATATTTATTTAATTTCAGCTATACAAAGCCATGAAATGGACTTGGTTTACAATATACCTTAAACACACTCATACCATTAGAGTATTATAATAATCTTATTCATATAATAGGTAACACACAATTCTGCAAACAACTTATCTTCACAGTTTTACAATTTATTTGCATTGCAATACGTGATACAGTAATCATGAAACGACGGATGTTCTGAAACCTTGTTGTAAGTGCATTGATTAAATAGATACACAAAATTCCGTTGACCATGATAATAATTATGCTTCAATTAAATTCATCTCTAATAGATAAATGATAAATCACTGGAACTACATTGTTACTGGACGAGGTCATATATACATTTTTGAGAAAAACGTATTTAAAAAAACATCTTTGTGACAAGTTCTTTTATATAATACGTAAAATCGTTTACAATATCTATAAATAAAATAACTTAACCCAAATAACTTTTAAACATTTATTTGGTATTTAAACCCAATCGTTATTTACATTTATAGTTATTCCTTATTTATAATTTCCAATTTTTATAAAAAAGGGCACTTCTTGGAGATCTACTATATTTGTCCATTATTCGTGCATTACTTTCCAAGTTAATAAAAACTTATGCAAGAAAAAAAGACAATTGTGAAAATTGATATACTTGAGTTTGAGATACAGCATTGATACCCGTTATCACAAGTACCACTTAATTAATAAAAATGAGAAAGACAAAAGTTGCCTTTCCGGCCTTCGACTCTATCAATTTGATATGATTGCGTTGCAGGTTCCTTCCTGCAAATAGTGATGTATAAAAGTATGCTGTACAACAAATAATTTTACATTGCAGCGACAGAGAACGTAAGATTATATTTACCACATAGCACAACTAAAATTTCTACCAACCTCAGATTGTTTTGCGACAATGAGATGGTTCATCCTTCTGTAAGTAACTTGTAATAATCTTTTTTTTAAATATGGTATCAATAATAAGCAAATTGGATACCCCTAACTTCTTTAAAAAAAAAACTAATTTGCCTTGATTGATTGTAACTCAGGAAAAATGAAGCCTAAACAATTCATATTTACATGACATTTCTTTCCTGTTTCGAATTCTAGATTTACTTTCTGACAAATACTGAAATTAATTAAGAATTATTCTTTATACATTATATTTATTTTTTGCTTATTATTTTCATATATACTTTGTTACTTCTATAATACATTATACTTATTTCATTTTGAATCGCACTTTTCAGCGCCTTTATTGGCGTGCTTCTATTAAAAAATGCCACACCATCGAAAAATCTGAGATATCCTTCACGTTTGGATTGGTTATTTGGCGTAAATAATGAACCAGATAAAAATAAAGAAGAAAATAAGGAAAAAGAAAAGAAAGATGACAAGCCAACTGTATGCCAATCTCAGGAGTGCAAAAAAATAGGTATTTATTAAACGGCAATAGATATATAGCTGTATTTTAATTAACACATAATTCGAAAATTTAAATCAATATTTATTTATTGTTTTTCCCTGTTTCTATCTCTTCTTCCAGCTCGGATAATATCGGAGAGCATGAACAAATCTGCGGATCCGTGCGACGATTTCTATGAATATGCTTGTGGGAGATGGCCAGAACATAATCCTATCCCAAATGGGTTGGAATCCTGGAGTATGTTTAGAAGAGCGCAAATAAATGTCCAGAAACAAATAAAAGGTAAAAGCCAAATCAGCCTGAACTTGTGTGTGTGTGTAATGATATTAAAAAAATTAAAATTAAATGATATTGTGTAGAAATTCTTGACGAGGGTCCGAAGAAAAACGATCTTTTGGCGGTGAAACTCGCTAAGAAGTGGTATGCGGTGTGTATGGATACAGGTAAGCGCGAAAGGCTCTCGAATCACTAAAACGCTGTGCGAAAATTCTAATATTTATTACTATTATACATAATTGCGTTCTACAATATATCTGATTCTATTTCTGATTTACGAAATGCTTCCAGATGCAATGGAGAGGTATGGACTCGAGCCGCTCGTCTTTACCTTATCGCGAATAGGCGGCTGGCCATTGATAATGGAACAGGACGAATGGAACGAGCAGGAGTACAGCTGGCAAAAAGTGGATGATCAATATGTGCGCTTGACGGGAAGAAATGCTTTTTACGACGTGAGCGTCGTGAACATCGATTATGATTTGAACGAGACTCGAAAAGTAGTATATGTATGTAGCTTATCACAACATAAACTTCTTGTTAAGATTATCATTATGCCTGCATTAACATAACTCAAATCTGAATTCAAAGGCGTGTTTGCAATATAATTGGCGTCTCTATAATGTTATTATACACATATACACCATTTTTATCTCATAGTATAATCGAGCGCTTATATTATACGTTGCTCTTTGCATTGTACGTGGACGTAAATTTATATTCAAAACATTTGTCTTAAGTTTTTACTATCAAATTTTCTTTAACTTAAGTACTTGTTCCTAGATCGATATTCCGGATCTACCTACGGGTTCAAATAGACTTTGGAGTGAAACCGACAGCGAAGAGGAAGAAGACAAAAGCGACGAGGACGCCAGCAACGAGCAGAAAGATAGCCAAGAACCTGGAAGCAAAGAAAAAAACGATGACAAAAGCGGTAATAATAGAAACGATGAAAATGAAGATGATAATAACGATGAAAGTGATAACAATGATGACGAAAAAGATAATAATAATAATGACAAAGAAAATAACGCTAACGATACAAACAAACAGAATGACGATGATAATGCGAAGAAAAAAGTTAGTACAAAAAGAACTGGCAAGTTAGCAAAAAACAAAAAATTAGGACATGGTAGAAAGATGAAGAGTAATACCCACTCCAAGAACAACCATCATAAGACGAAAAAAGAAGGGATAAAAAAACGGGCAATACCGACAAATATTCGCGAGAAATTACGCGTATGGAAGACCGAAAAAAATCACGTAAAGCAAAAACGTATAGAGAGACCAAAAGAAACTTTAAAGGCGACAACACCGCAGGATAACACAAAAGAAATGATCGACGAAGATAACGATCTGAAAAAATACACTAATTACATCTCGAAAGTAGCTCACGCTATAGCTAAAACAAGAGGCGTCGAAGTCTCAGAGGAACATATGAATAAAGATATTCAGGACATAATCGAATTTCAAGTGAGACTAGCTGAGGTAAGTGCAATCTACTTTGCAAGCAACGAAAAGAGAAAAGTGTATTATAGCCTGAATAATAATATATTTTAGATTACTGCAGAAGCAGATGTTATGAGATACAGAGATGTTAAGAGTATGACGCTCAATGATTTTCAAAAATGGTATAATGAAAAGAAACCTAAAACTCCCAACAGCGCAGTAAGCAGCGTTCCTTAATTGACAAATTTAATCTGTTAAATTATATTTATGCAACACGTGCATGGAATGTGCCCCATTACTCACGCTACGCGTGCGTGATAGACCACTTTCCAGGCACTTGCAACATAAAATAGGGAGTGTAAGCCGTGTGTAAAGATGAAAATTCCTGGGTGCGGTTACCGCACTCGCCTTCGGCTCGTGCGTAAACTCCGCACCCGGGAATTTTCATCTTACCTCACTTGTTACACAAATAACTATTCTATGAATAACTAAGCTTGAAACAAAACACAGATTAACTGGGTGTACAAAATTGGGGAATTATTTGATGAGGCCCACGTCCAAATAGGTGACGATTTAACTGTAGGAATTAGGCGACAAAGTTACTTCAGGGATCTTGTTGCTTTGCTGGATAAAACATCAAGTCGAACGATCGGTAAATTTTAAAAGAAATACAGCGATAATAAGGAAATATCGTCGATGGACGTGCTCACGCAAGATATGTTTCAGTAAACTATATACATTGGAACTTCTTAATCAGAATAATAAAAACTACCACAAGTGAAATGAGAAAATTATACTATGCATGGGAAGGAAAAGAAGAGAAGGATGATAAAGAGGTTCTCGGAATTTCCTTGAGGTATGATACAATCTTTTACATCTTTGGAAATTGTTTCTTACATGATTATCAGCGTAAATCAGCGTTCTTAATATAATCTTAACGCGTAAATCAAAATTAAGTTCGTTCTAAATTATACTGATATCAATTTAATAATAAATCGTTTTCATAGATCGCGCAAATGCACACGCGAAGTAGCCGAGATGAGCGTCATTCTGGCGTACGAATATGTCAGGAACCATTTCTCAGATGAAATCACGAAAACCGTAAATACTTTGTGTTGATAATTGAAAGTTTTATTTTATCTGACGTTTATAACAATATATATTCTGACTATATATTCTGGGTTTATTTTCTATTGCTAAACTGTCTGTACTAGTTCAGAGTTTATCTTTTTCCTTCCAATGTAAAGTAAAAAAGTTAAACTCTAAACTATTGCCAGTTCATAATAGAAAATAAACCACCATATCTTTATACAATTGTATCATTTATTCTTACTGCAGGCATCGGACATGGTGGACGATATGCAAATAGAAGTCGAGTATCAAATTAAAGAATCAAATTGGATGGATGAGGATACTAAGGATTTTGTTTTAGCAAAATTAGTGAATCTAAACAAATTTATCGGGTATCCAGATTGGTTTAAGAATAACACTAAGGTTAAACAATATTTTCAAGGAGTAAGTTTCTCAAAATGTATTAATTACCACTACATATAGTGACTGTTTTACTTAATTATTCTGTTCTGTTAAAGCTCGTTATAGGCAAATCGTATTACGAGAATATACTGAGCTATGATAGATACAGCAAATGGAAAAACCTTCGAGAATTATTGTTAGAAGATGACGAAAATGCTGATGACATGTAAGATACACCCAGAAAAAAGTATTCTATTTACAAAGTGAAAGAGTGACCGCAAAAACAGGCCAAAAATAGCCTAATTCACCCTTGTCTTTTTTCACCTTTGAATTTAGACTTTTACTTGGCACTAAATGATAGTCTATAATGAGTCATGAATCCTCAGAAAGTTTCAGATTGAGCCGGCTTTGAAAAAAAGAGGCGAGGGGACTTACTCTAATCAATCACCCCGAAAGTGAGAGGCGAGGGAACTCACTCTAATCATATTTATATTAACACATATTCGCGTATACCTGTGAATAATCACATAACAGCAAACGAATACGTTTTTTGAACCTATTATTATGTAAGTTTCCATTTCAACGTTTTAAAACTGCGAATACGCAACCAACTTTGACCCTTCATATCTTTAAAATAAAAAGCCGGCTCAATCTGAAACTTTCTGAAGATTCATAACTCATTATAGACTATCATTTAGTACCAAGTAGAACAGTGCCAGACTAGAGTCAAACTCAACAGGGTCTTCTTTCCCCGCTAGTTTTTCCAAGCCCGTTTCCTTGGCAGTGGTTTCCTGTAATCCCATATTCTAAGCAAAAACTTTGACAGACAGAGTATTCCTATGTCAATAAAGTGGACTATTCATAAAAAATTTATTACATATTATTCTAACGGTTTTCCTCTTGTATTAAGAGAAATATGTTTAACTTGAAACGGAATATAATCTGTATACAAGAGGAAAAT